TTTTTTTTTCAATATTTTATTAGCTTTTCACATGCATTTTGCTACATAAAATTTGACTCCTAAAATTGGGAAAACAAGATGATGCCCCAGTGTTTTGCTTTAAAGCCATGAGTTTTAATAAACTTGCCATGAGTTGGGGTAACCTTGGTTGGGACTTTCAGATCTAAGAATTATTGAGAACTCATTTGTCTTTCGAACACTTGGTCCTCATGTCACAATCTAGAGAGAGATTCCTCGAGGTCTTCAAATAAACAATATCTTGGAATATATTGGACACGAACCCAGGTGATCGGGATTTCTTCGAACTTTCAATTTCGACCCCCCACGACTAACCTTCTGATGTTCGGATCACTAAGGTACTTCAGGTCTACTTATAGATACCCTTAACCATTATCCAAGGGGGCTCATACCTCTAGATTGATTTGTCACCAGGCTGACATAATAGAGATAAGGACGTTAGAGATAAAAGATAAAAAAAAACAAAAAAAACTTTTTATTCCATTATCTCGGGGGTTCCTTTCAGGTTTTCAGCTCAAAGACTCATTTTTTCTCTTTTTTTTTTTCTTTATACGCATGCTTTTTGCATCACAGGTATTTTCTCGGACTTTTTAGCCTTCGGCATAATTTTTTTGCAGCCTTTTTATTCTTTTTTTTTTGAGGAAGTAGAAGGAGAAGTAGAAAAAGAGTTAGTGATGCTTCTTTCTTTCAACATGACACCCTACGAATAGGTAAGGGTTTCTTCATATTTACTCGGTAATATTATCATCTTCCCATTTGCTAAATGGTAGGGAGGTCCTAGTTTCGGTTATCCTCAGGTCACCCTTGCATCCAACATTTCCTCGATGGTGCTTGATGAATTATTGTTGGACCCACTTTTGAGTACTTCACTCAAACCTAGACGCTTTGGATTTGTGACTGCTCGCAACTTCTTGGTCCTTCGGTCCCTCACTTGGGTTGCAAAGCCTTTTAAAAGGGTTTTATTGTTAACTGCCCCAAAACATGTGTTGGGTATGTTTTATTTATTTTTGAACAAAATTTCAATTAAAAAATGATTGGGTATGTATGTGATGCCTTTTAAGAACCCTTGCACTAACCCATAGGTGGCTCCACGAACCCATGATGTCTATTGGTAACCAAAAGAATGGATCTTCGGTCGCAATGTATTCATGCTACTTTTATAAGAGTGTTTTAGATAATATGTGAATTTGTGCTCATAACGCTTGAATGTCATGGGAGCATTGAGTCAAAGTGGGCATGAAGATCTTACTTGGCTACTAAAAGGGATAAGTGATCATCCTATTCCTTTCCGACAATCCTTTTTACTAGAGAATATCAGGTTGTTGTTCGTTCGAGGGAATTAATTTCACATTGTGCTCATCCTTGGTGTTCGAATATAGATGGGACACTTGGATGAGGATGGTTGTGCTATTGATTCTTCAACGCCTTAGGGCATGTCGGGATGGATTGGATGAGGCCATGGCCTAACCTACTACTTCGATTGTCTCATTTTCTATGGATGACACCACCCTTATCAATTGATTAGATATGGCTCCCCCATTTGGATTTTCATTAATGGCGTAGAGTAATGTCCTGTTAAGAAAATGTTGGGATGCCTTTATGAATGAGCTAGATGGGGTCATCCCTACTAGGTCTTCAATTGTGGAGACTTAAACCCCTTTGTGTTGACTTTCTCGGCTCACAAATGCTCTAGTCAATTCGTTGGATGCGACTCCCATAAAGGCTTCGATTATGGGTATTTATGCCCCATCTAGTCAGTCTTCTTGATTTGAGGTTGCCTCTATTGGGTCATTGGATGGCCTTGCCCGACTAGTATTTCATCATTAATAGGGATTGTGTGCCCTTTTGAGCATCTCTTCTTGACATTTTGGACTATCTTTATTGGTTCTTTAAATGGATACACCCCAGGCATTAGAAGCTGCTCCTGTCCTTATCATCTCTTGGGGGTTATTTTTGCTTTTACTCTTCTTCCCTCTTAAGGGGGTATCCATTGAGCTGGGTTGAGAAGGCAAATTGAACAACTCATCCAACTACTTATCATTATATGTTCCGATGATGGCAGTTTGGGTGCTCCTCTTAGGATCTCGAGGATGTCCACCTCCTGCTCTTGGGAGGATGAGAGAATTGATTCCATTGTTGAGCTCGGTTCTTCTATATCCTTCACTTGGCTTTGCTTTAGAGGAAGTTCCGATTGGATCCTCTAGGCTTGGTTATTAATTTGGTGGGCCACCCTTTGAGAAGGCTGCTCATTTAGGTCTACTAAGTTTAGTTCTTCATTTCGCTCAAATGAGTTATTCATTGAGTTGTCCCAAGGAAGTAGATTGCTCAAACGAGTTATTCATTGCATTGTTCCAAGAAAGTAACTTGAAAGGTCCTTTTGTGTTTGGTTCCTCATTGCACTTAGGTGGGTTGTTAAGAAATCCATCGATGGAGGTCCTGGTGGTCGCTTTAGAATTTATAGGAGATCCACTTTGTTCTCTTACAGAGATGGGGGAGTTAACATGCTTGGTCCTGGTTGACTCTTCTTTCTTTGTGACTTTCGGCTGAATATTCCAAGCTCGGTACTTCGTCATCGCATATATCCCACATAGGTAGAGTTTCTGATAAAACAAAGGAAAGAGGCCTAGGCGGACCCTTGAAGATTCCTAGGAGATCTACCTCGTCCTCTTTGGACTTTTGAGGTGATGGAAAAGGGAGAGCTTCTCTTTAGGAAATTGAGTGGGTTAGATTCTCTACTCCTAAATTATGTGCCTCATGTTCTTCTTCTAGGTATGTTTCCTTTGATGGAATCATTAGTTCTTCAGTTTCTTCTTATACGTTAGACTCGGAACTAAGACTATATTTGATGTAATATTGAAATTTCTAAGTAGCCAAGACTTGATTGAGCTTAATCTTAATTTGGTCTTCATTTGAAGAGTTTCCATATCGGTTTCTTCCTCTGCTCCAAGGCCAAGTAAGTGGTCCTTTGGTTTGGGTTGAGCTTCTTACTCACTTGTTTTAATCAGACTATCATCGGTTGTCGTTTGTTTCTTTTTCTTTGGCATGCTTTTCTATGACAATTATGACACCAATATTGATGAAGTCTTCAATGATGTGCTTATGAGTGAGACCTTCATTAGTGTCATGGGCGCGATTTATATGCCACTCGCATCACTTGGACTTATCTTCCAAAATGAACAAAGGGATATAGGCTATGGGCACTTCAACCATGTTTTGTTTGAGTAGTTTCATAATATTGCTATTCATTGACTTGTCAGTTGAAGTGAACTCCTTTGGTGTGCTTCCTTGTCCCCGATACGTATATGAGTGAGTATTGTTTTGGGTCATTGGCTTCAAGTTTGTTAACCTCATTTTTATGTTGTGAGGAATCATCTTATTCTTGAGGTTTGGTAGATTTGGCACTCATTGCAAGCTCATATGTCTGTTCCTAGCCTCAAGTCTTTATGACATAAAGTCGAATGAGAAGGGCATATTCGATTAGCTGGAAGAAGGTTCTATAATGTGGCGTAGCATTTTCTATGGTGAGATTAATCTTCACCAGATCAAATAGTGGACACTCAATGAATTGGGAAAGTATCATCCCTAAACTGGTTGATGTATTTGATGAACTCATTGTGTTCTTGTCTTTGAGAATATTAACTCATCAGGGGAGTCTGACCTTAGTCTTATCATGTAATAGCGCTCAACTAATTATTGGAACATCTCACCTGGGGGGTAAGTTTGTGTGAATGTTCATGACCTTTCTATGTCACATGACAGATTTGCCCCGAAAAGTTGCGTTGAAACATTACCTTAAAGTAGTTAGTTCGGTACCATAAGACCGATACCAAAACAGGTAGGCCTTGACATGGGCATTTGGATCTTTCTTTCTGGAGAATTTGTTTATGAAATTCAACACTACGGAGCCCATTGATAAATCATTAAGACTTCAAAAGGTTTCGTCTGCATAGTTATTGGGAGTCTGGAAATCTTAATGCCCTTTCTCTCAAGTCTGGAAGTCTGTAAAAGGGGTAAGGGCCAGCCAACTTACGAGTTTTAACTTATCTTATAAAAGGGTAAGAGCCAGCCAACTTACTTGTTTTAGCTTTATAATATTATAGATATATAATTCAGGTATTATAAAGATCATGAATCATGGCTCCTATCAATAACTGATCAAGTCATTAGTAATCCCGATTTGGATCACATATCGGCCATCCATATTAAATTTTTTTTAACACTATTTAAAGTAAAAGATAGAATTTATATGAGGCCTAGTCCTTATTAAAAAACAGTAAAACATCACTTCAAAAATTTATCTAAGAAATACTTCCGGCAGGAGTAATCTCTAGGGGTGGCAATGGACCCAGGCCGAATCCAGGACCTGATGACCGGACCCGACTCGGGTCTGGGTTTGGGTCCATGTAGACCCGGCTAGAATAGTGTTAATGTTTAAATGATTTTTAACATATAATATTTAAATAGATATAGCTATATATTTTTTGTTCTAATATTTAAACAATACATGTATGTATTTAACATAATATTTATATCTTTTGATTTTTAGGTTGGGTTCGATCGTATTGCCACCCCTAGAAATCTCTATGATAGCTCTAAATTCAATTTCCACTGTCAGATTATGAAATTTATAGCAAAAAAAAAAGTAAACATCTTGAAAATTTGTGAAAACTTGAAAATAGATTGTGTGGATAATATTTAAGGTTTGAAATCGTAATTCTTTTTACAATCATACTGGTGACCGTGTGGATAATATTTGAGGTTTGAAATCCTAATTGTTTTCACTATCAGCGATGAGATGATCCATTTGAAAATTTTTTAAAGTAATAACTATAATTTTTCTTGAGTTTTAAGGGATGGGGGGCTTGGCCCCGCCTTTTTTTTTTTTGATATATATATATTTTTTAATATTTTTGACAAAGCATAAGCATTATTTAGACATTTTTCTCATAGCAAAAGAGAGCAAAATTTACCACCTATTCTCTCTCCAAAAGTTTTTTCTCCATTTATACCCCCTATGGTATAATACCCTGGGTACTTGGCTTTCGCCTCCCTCAAATCTCCATGAGAATCAGCAGCATCCCCAAAATGGGAATCCGCGCGCCTTACTGACCTCTTTCTCTCTCTTACATGGCCGCAAGGCCCTCGGCCTCCTCCATTTTCCACCGCTTAAATCGATTCTCCTCTTCCTTTCTCTCTCCTCCGCATTCCACACATTTCCCCTCTCCTCCGCATTCCGGCCATTGTCACTTTTCCGGCGGTGGTCGCCATAATAAAATAAAGTGTGCAGTCGGAGTCCCTCCTCTCCCCCTCTGTCCTAACCCTAAACCTAAAGAACACAACAACAACAACGTTCATTTGAGGCCTGAAAATCTGGCTCAAAAGATCGGGAAATCGATAAGGAGGCCAGGCGCCACCTCCAAAGCTAGGGTTTATGCCGATGTTAATGTGTTGAGACCCAAAGAGTATTGGGACTATGAGTCCCTCACTGTTCAATGGGGGTAAATCCGGGGTTTTCTGTTCTGTCCATCTATTGTTGGTAGAATTTCGTTTGCTGTTGTTGTTCTATTTTTTTATTTTCTCTCATTGAGTAGGAAAGACCAAAAATTGGGTTAGTTTTGTTGTTGTTATTCTTGTTTTTTTTTGTTTTTTTTGTTGTTGCAAATTTGTATTTCTTTTAGATAAAGGGAGTTTTTGTTTAATTATGTATTTCTGCGCTTTACTGCCTTCCCTCTTTGCTATCAATGTAAAGTTTATTTCTTCATGCTAGAATACGTCTTCTTGCCCCTCTTTTTTTTATTATTTTCTTCTGTTTTCCCTATTATGGTCCCGTTAAATCTCAAAGAATGTGGGTTTTTAAATCTTTAAGATATTTATTGGGTTGTTTGTTAATTTTTATTTGTCACATACAGGTCTTTTGTTTTGTTTTTTTTTTCTTTTTTTTTTTTAAATTTTTCTTTTGAGGAAATCTGGTGATTAGGTTTTGGTTGTAACAGGGAGCAGGATGATTATGAGGTCGTTCGCAAAGTGGGAAGGGGAAAATACAGTGAGGTCTTCGAAGGAGTCCACTGTACAAACAATGAGCGCTGCATAATCAAGATTCTTAAGCCTGTGAAGAAGAAGAAGGTAAACTTTTTTTTTTGCTTCCTTTTCAAAATGTCTTCATGGTACTTTCTTATCTTTTTGTTTTCCTATGTATTTCATGATTATTGAATGGAAATTAATTATATGTTGGATGGGTTGGAGTTTTTTTATCTTTTTTTCATTTCATAATTGTTTTCTTAGTCCTTATATATTTTTTGTTTTCTAGAGTAACCATGTAAAATTGTTAATATTTATATTTGTTGCCGTGGGTGAGATTTTATCCTTGTGTTTGCATTCTGGTATTATTTGCATGCCCAATATTGGATTAGGCATTTATGCGACATTTGATTATTGGGATTTCTTTTTGATATTTCCGCAGATCAAGAGGGAGATAAAGATTTTGCAAAATCTTTGTGGTGGGCCAAACGTTGTGAAATTGCTTGATATTGTTAGAGATCAGCAATCAAAGACACCGAGTTTAATATTTGAATGTGTCAACAACACTGATTTCAAAGTTCTTTATCCCACTCTAACAGATTATGATACAAGATACTACATCTATGAGCTGCTAAAGGTAAAATTTAAGTTCATTGACATAGTAATTTCCTTTTATAGGATGTCTTTAATCTGTGATCAGGAACTTGATAATCTTTGGGCTTTTTTTGTTTCTATTTGTAATTGACATGTGTTTCTCTTTTTCCCTGTTAACTGGATCATGCATAGTTCTCAAATTTTTTTTCCTACAAAGTTGCGAGTGTTCAATTTGCATCATATTTTTTACTACTTTTTATATTTTTGATATTTTTGCCTTGAAGGTGGTGGAAGGAGAGGGGTAAGGGGGGGGGGGGGGGATTTTCCTTGTACGGGATAGCATTCAAATTATAGTTTCTCGGTTTTTGTTGGTTAATGGTGGATGAGGAGGGTTGGGTATAAGTTTTCAATATGGGGCATCTGTGGCATGGTGGATTTGAGGAGACCTCAGAGCTAGTGAACATCATGGGTTGCCAGAGCTAGTTTTCATTTGTTTTAGGGGGTGAGAAGACAAGTATGGTATTGGAAATTGAATGGTACCATGGTATGTTCTCTATTAACAATTCATTGCCACCATCTGTGACTCTTAGGGTAGGCATTTATTCATGATGATCAGTGTTTTGTATCCATTTTCTTATGAATGTGGTGCCACTTGGCCTATTGGTTATCGTAGATAAGTATGGAAAGCCATTTTCATAATAGGGGATTTCCATCTCTTCCAACTTAAGTTTGATGCTTAAAGAGGTAGGGATGTGAAAGAGATGGTGAAGCACCTTCTTATTCATTTTGTGAGAGGGGTTTTGGCCTTTGTTTGGATCTTGCTATTTTCTTGTTTTGGCTGTTCAAGCGATTAGAATTTAATTAATGAAGTGTGAAAGTCAAACACTCATTGTACACTCATTGTTGATGGCTGTTTGGGTGTCTTTTGTGACACTCAAAATCTCAAAATAATGGGGGATCTAAAACAAGGGTTGGATAGGGTTCACCTGTAGGAACCGGTGTCCAAAACTCATTTATGCCTTGGACAGCCCTAAATGGCTTGGAGTCAAAGCATGATGCACGACAGGATCTAAGGATTTCTATCCAAAATTCCCAATAATTGGAGGAGAGTACGTATATCATTTTGAATACTAGTTAACCGCAAAAGAGAAATGGCTGTCAAACATGGTGTTCTACCAATCATGCTCTGATGAGTACAAAACTCACCCTGAAGCATAAACTTGGTTCAAATAGCTCACAACAACTCATGGACTTCAAAAGGAAACTGAAGATTTCAAGTTTTCACTTCGGCTTTCGATAAGAAGCAAGTTGCCTTTGAAGTCACAGCCAAAACCCAGACCTTGTTGAAGCATGGTTCAATGGACCTGGGGATGAACTCCGAAAGGCTAGGGGATCGTGTGGATAAAGATCAATCTTCGAGATGCAAAATTAAATGCATGTAATTTGCAAAAAAGGTTTTCATTGTGGTTGTATGAAAATTCATGATATCTCTTCCAAATCACCATGGTCTAGAGATAAACTTGTAATTTGGAAGTTATCGTCAAGAAAATGATGTTGTGACATATGTCAGTTGAACAAAACGCAAAGGACACATAATTAAGGACAGTGGCTCTAGTGTTTTATTTAATTGGAACCACAGTCTAATTTCAAGACCACAGAAATCAACTCAAATCAACTCAGAACTGTCCACGATTTGGTCACAGTGATTCTCATATTGTGATCTATTGCCCTACAAAAGGATCTAGATCAAAACAACAACATATTAAAAGCGGTCAAGCACAAAGCAGTTAATCACAAGACTGCAGAATTGTGACCAAAACAGGTATAGTTAGAATTTGAACTCTAAACATTACAATTCGAATGATATTGATTTCCAACGAATCAAATCTGTCTCCAAGTATCATCAACCATCAATATGAAGGATGAACAGCTCAAGATCAATAAATGATCAAGAGAAGCTTCTCAACTTCAACCAAGTCTTCCTAATGTCTATGAAAGCACTCTAGCATGAGAGAGAGAGGAGCTCATTTGGACTCTTTGGAAACGGACGGATCCTGAGAAAGAATTTGTGGCACAACACCAGGCTAACCCAAAATAGAGAGAGAAGCACAAAGCATATGCTCTTCAGCAGTAACTGTGGTGAAAACTTAATTAGTTCATATTTGCTAGGTGAATCTAGTTAGGCATTTGGTTTCTTTTTGATGTCCACTCTCTATGGCTGGAGCATTGATCAAGGGTATTTCATGTTTGTACAAAAAAAAAAAAAACTTGAATGTAAATGAAACAAGTTCCCTACAGCAACTTCAAACTCCTCCCTGAACCCATATTGTAGTAAGAGCTTCTGATGCTGAACAATTTGAAGTGAATTTGGTTCTCTGATTTGTTCACTGGTTCATTACGAGTTTCTTTTCTTAAATTTCCTTTAGCACACTTTTCAGGGGAATCAATGGCATATTCTCTATGGTTTAGATTGTCATTCAAATGCGTGAAAATTACATCAGCCTACATCCATGAAGGATGTTGTTGGTTTCTCACGGTTGCTTGTTGAGTCTTTGTCTCACGTTATTTCTTCCTAGTCTCCTAACCATCGCTTTCTTCTTTTTTTTTGGAAGATAACATAAACAAAAGGAAAGGAGAGCACTTGTAGAGAAAGCACTTGTTCGACTGCACAAATATTCTGAAATTTTCAAGATGGTGTGCGGTCCGAATTGACCATGGTTTTAAAAATCTAGGTGACATCTTGATATAAGTACCATCCCATAGTTTTCTCACCTTTAGCCAAAACACAGATTTGAAAATTTTAGGTTGGAGTTGAATTTTATGGAATCTTAGAAAATGCTATCTTGCAGCTTCCTACTTTCCACAATGTGTTCTAGGTGGTGCCTAGACAGCTATGGTGGCTGGCAGCTGCCTAGGTGGGTGCCTCAGTTTTGAGTAGGCATGCCCCCCAAAAATACATATATGCATATGTATGTGTGTGTGTGCGCATGCACGCTGCATGCATTCATGTCTAGAGATATACATGTGTATAAATATATTGTATATAATTACTTATCAATCTATAATATATGTAATATGCTAACAAATTATATATCCTCTATAAAGTATATCCATATATGTGTAACTGATTATCATTAAAAATTTGAAAAGGAAATTGCAAAGTTTGAAAGTAAGCGGGTAAATATTGAATTACAGTTCACACTTAGGTGCGTTTGATAACTTTCACTGCGGTTTTCCTTGGAAAATCCCTGTTGCTAACTTTCCCGGATTCTAGGAGGAAGGTGAAAATTGGTAGCTTGAAAACTGGGAACCCTGTTTGATAAACTGTGGTGCTGATATTTTCACCTATTTCATATTGGGAAAGCTGGAAATTGCCTGTTTTAATAGTTCATTATGTATTTCATTGATTTGATGTGTGAAAGCTTATTTTGAATGAGATTTTTTTGCTACCACCAATAATGCATTTCTTATGAAATGTATGGTTCAGATTGAAATTTGTTCTTATCTCCATGTAAGTTACAAGTGGAAGACACCCAGCAATAAATTGAAATTGCATAAGGTCGCTCAATTGGATGATGGAGGGCATCAATTGGAGAAGGTTTGTGTGATTAGTGATGCAAGGAATGTTTCATTCTTGTGCACCTGATAGACTTAACAATCTCATAATTTAGTTGAGAACCTGCCCAATAAATTGTTTTTCTCCAAGCTTCTGGGCTGCAACCTTCAGGGGCCTGACTTTCAACCCATTTATTAGGACTAGTTAGCTCAACACCTACCCCTGTTCCCCATCAAGTTCTTCCTGTGATTAATGATCATGGCAATCAACAAATTGTTCATAACACGAACAATTTGTTAGCCAAAGCATGATTTCATGTCCCTTTCTTTCTTTTTTTCTTTATGCATAAGTAGCATGATTTCATATGTTAGATTGCAGTAGCATCTTTAAGAATCAGTGACTTGTTTTAATGGAAGAATATCAACCCTTGAGCTACAATCTATCTTTAAGACATGTAGTAACTCAAGAAGCATTTTCTCCCACTCTCCCTTCATCTGAGACAGCCTTTTCGAACTGCATATGAAATAACAGATGCATCAGCGACAAAGACTCTTCAGTATGAACCTTAAAAGAGCTAAGAGACTTACATTGGGGCTTCTACAGAACCATATTGTTTCTCATGTATTTGTTGTGTACAATGTACTCACTTACAATGGATGAATTGCTAAATACAGTTAAAAATTCAAAATAGAATAACTTTAAATTTTCCATGAGGAAAATCCAGCCATCCACTTAGTTATAAAAAGTGAAGGAAAAAAAGTTGATCAAATTGCTAACAACCTCATACAAGATGAGAAAAGAAGAGAAATCCAATCCGCCATTTAATTAATAAAAACAAAGAAATGAAATCTTGAATCAAATTGGCAAACTTTAACTTATAAAACACATAACCATCAAAGTTTATATAAATTTCACACAAGAAAACTAAGGTCTTTCAATAAGAATCCAGCATTCTTTTTCATTTAAGGCCCAAAAACTAACACGACTCCACTAACAGAGAGGGGGAAAGATAACTGCACGTGTCCCACTCCTAGTTCTTTTCATGAATTTGCAACACCCGAGGGAGGGGGGGGGGGTGTTGTTGTAAAGGTTCGTGGTTGATGTTTACAATTCTATGGCGCAGGTCCTCCTCTACTCTTGAAGTATGGAAAGCGTGACCAATCAAATTTGTAACTAATATGAATCATTTACATCTAATTTTCTCAACCAAAATATCAAAAAATATCACCTCTATTGAAAATCTGAAAGATATAAGTGGATAGTCAAACGTGCACAAGAAAGCACATATCATGATACTATGTATTTTCAAAATATATAAAGCTAGCACACAGCCTTTATCCTGACTTTCAAATTTCTGAGTATTTAACACGAGGAGGATTACATGGTGTTTCTTAAAGCAACTAAGGGACTTACCATTAAAAGGAAATGCTAAAAAACTGGCAGAATAATGTGGTGAAAGAAACAGTGGAAGTACGAAGAAATAGAATGAGGTCAGGGGGCAGGAAGTCAAACCAAAATCTGAAGGGAGTGCCCAATACTCCTTCCCAAGCATGTAATCTGGCCATCATAGGTTTTTTTAGAAAAGGAGGAAAGAAGATGCTCATATCTTCAGCTTACTTGAAAGTCTTCTCCATGACGTTTGTTAGCTGATCTACTCTGTATCTAGCTGTGCATGACCCCTAGGATTCTACTCTTATGCTACCCCAAGCCACTAAATACGTCTGTTCCATGTGGTTAAAGATGCTTAGTGCTTGTGAAGTTTCTTGCCAAATGTATACCTCATCCATCTTCCACTTGCCATGAGTGCTATCTCATATTGCTCTTTTTGATGAATTAGAATTGTATAAGATATTGTTCCTTTACTTCGTGCAAAGGCCCAAACCCCATACTAAGTAGAGTGATTTGGCATGCGGATTATGAACATTTGTTATGGATTTTCCTTTTTTTCTTGTTCCTAATGCATCTAAAGCTTGTTGTAGTGTTGTCTTGTGATTATTTCACCATCAGGGCACATTAACTCTGCATTTAGCTAGCTTTTGCATTTGTTTGGCAGCCATGTGCTCATCAGGTTTCCACCATGAATGGCTTTATTCTGTGTATTATAGCTGTGTAATTGCGCACTCCAGAACTATTTCAGAAACATGTTAGCAATCTTTATTGTTTTCTGTTCGCCTTTCTGATATTGTGAGCTAAGATTTAGCAATGGTGTCATTGATAAGTAAAAAAAGAATTTAGCAGTTGTGTTTAAGGACACTGAGGTCATGGTGTTGCATGCAGGCATTAGACTATTGTCACTCTCAAGGAATAATGCATCGGGATGTGAAGCCCCACAATGTCATGATTGATCATGAACAGCGTAAGCTTCGTCTTATTGATTGGGGCCTTGCAGAGTTTTATCATCCAGGAAAAGAATATAATGTACGGGTTGCTTCAAGGTGAAATCAGATTCTGAAATATCTCTACTTTTGAGGAATGTTAATAGTTTATTACTTCTTTATTTGTGAAATGCGAGAGTGCATTTTCACTCAAGGAATTATGAGTGATAAATGGAGATGATTGGTTGATGCTAATTTTGTACTTATGGTATAGTTTATTGTGGGATGCAGCTGGACATCACTAGATACCTCACAGCTCAATCTTTTTTTTCCCCTTAATTTATTCAGAAACAGGGGTCTTCTTTTGCTTTATGCTGAAATAGTCATCTTGGCAAAAAAGAATTTCTGGTATTTGTATTGGTCTCATATAAGGATAAAACTGTCACATTGGTTTGGTTTGTTTTTGTTCAGCTCCAAGATTGGGCCACCCACAGTTTTTCACACATTGCTGGTTAGCAAATTGTATGCGGACCAAAACCCTTGGTTTGAGCAAATTTTCTAAATCCTCCAAGGAAGTGGTATTTTGTTTTGATTACCAAGTGAAATACAACCTGCAAAGATTTAGGAATCTACAGAAATTAGATTGATTGGAAATTTTTGTACCTCCAGATTGTATAGGCCGAAGTTCAATTCGTACAGGGATCAAGGACAATTAGATCTGATTCTTATTCTCAGCAGGAGTTATTGTTCTTTCCTTGTGAGTTCTTTTTAGGACCTGGAGTCAAATAATTGTTTTTGGGAAAATATCATTTAAGGGGTCATAAACCCTTACAAAATCATTAAAGGGTTCAAGACATCCCAATTGACATTGGAGGGTTCACTTTTTAATTCTCATTGCACTTAGATACCTCCTCAAAAATATCCTTCAAAATGCCCAAATTGCCCTTGTTTATGGTTGAGAACATCGAACAAGTTGGGGTATTTTAGTAATTTGACCTACCTACGAGACCCAATCACATGATAGGAGTACTCTTGCTTGTTCAAGGTGGGTTGAATTACTGAAGTGCTCTCACTTTTGAGGGTTCCCACCCTGAACAAGGGTAATTTGGGCATTTTTGAAGACATTTTTTGAGGATGTAATTGAGTGAAATGAAAATAGAAAGCAAACCCTCTAATGTTATTTGGGACGTTCAGACCCCCTTAATAACTTTTCAATGCTTGGGCATGGATCACAGGAAACATGCAAATCTATGCAACTGTTCTTTGATCAAATGATTTAGATAATCAGTGGGTGAGGTTTATGTCGTTATATGAGCGGGAAACTAATTTGGTTTTAGTCTTTGATTCAGTGATAGGCTTATTGAATGTCTTTTGTTATATTGATTCGGTAAGTCTTCAGCCTTTTACTGTGAGATTGGGGATGATGGAAACTAGTGACTGATTGCTTTCTTGATTTCCTTTTTGGTATTCTCCCTATTGTGTGTTGTCTTTTTATATTACAATTTTAAAAGAAAACTTTGTTTTATGGGGGCTTTGGCAAATTCATTGTATCTTATGTACATACAATTGGTCAACAATTAGAGATCCTTTATAAATAAAAAATGTATTCATGAAAAGGCATGGTGCAACTGCTAAAATCTACTTCCATGGCAGTTGCCTTTTCTTTCTATTGTACTATTAGATTTGTTAGTTCTTTTGTGTGGTTGGGTCGCTGTTAGTTTCATGTATTTTTATATCAATTTTGTTGGAATATGATGTGCATTTAGTTTCATGTCTATCAGTTTTGACATTATCATGCATATCTTTTGAAGTTCTTATGGGCAATTAAGCCTGTTACACAAATGATGCTTTCCATTTTTATTATTTATTGTTTTGTTTTTTGTGTTGAGACTTTTTCTTTGTGACTTTCAACTTACCGTTTCAGATACTTCAAGGGCCCAGAGCTTCTAGTTGATTTACAAGATTATGATTATTCTCTGGATCTTTGGAGCCTTGGCTGTATGTTTGCAGGAATGGTAAGCAGTGTTTTAAGGAGTATTAGTACTTGAACTTAAGTGTATAATGTTTCTCAATTTGTCTGCTTGATGCACATGGCATTGCAGATATTCCGTAAGGAGCCATTCTTCTATGGGCATGACAATTATGATCAGCTAGTCAAAATAGCAAAGGTATCTTATTTTTACCTTTACATATTTCTTTTTTGTTCCTGGGATATTTTATGAAGGACAAACTTAAGGGCTTTGAGTGCTTGCCTGTTGCTCCAAAGATCTTGCTTTTAGAATGTTCTTTTGGGGAAATGAAATGGCAATGTCACTTGAAGTCGTGTCTTGATATCCTGCAAATCCATTACCATGCAATTGAAGAAAATCATGACTATGAAGTGGATAATGAACCAATGAACATGATAGCATGCCATTTATGTGAAATATCGTGGGATATGATCAATCATTGTGTGGATATATTTATGCACGTCCCTTCATACGAGGCTTTTCTATCATCTTTGACTTGAATAAAGAAATGTGTTGAAGGAGATGTTCTGTATCATTTTCTAATGAGGTAATGTTTGTGCATGCTTTGTTCGGGTCATATATCGACCAGGTGGGGCTGGCTACCTCGGTGCTATGAGGTCCCCTCAGTCTTGAGGTGCTCCAGCCTGACAAATATGCATGTGTTTATATAGTATATGTATACATATAATGAATTATAAGCAATTGAATATTAAAAATTTGAATGAGAGGAAAAATCCAAGTGTTTGGAAGTAATTAGTTAATTGTTGAATCACATTTCACTCATGTAATACAAATTTAACTAAAAATGTCTAATCCTTGTTGGCCAATCTCAGTTCCTTGATGTTTTGGATGAATTTTGCACTTTAAATCACCCATAATCTCCTCTAGACTAAAAGATTTGAATTTGATTTGATCTATTGAAGAAAATTTATTTTTTGATATTTAAAAATTGAAAGCAAAATTTTTATTCTTTTTTTCCAAAAAGAAGTCTTGGGAGCAATAACATATGCCACCACCCCACCTTGAGGTGCTGCCTACTCTCAAGACAGGCACTCTTTGCCACACTGTATATGAACTTGGAACATGTCTGATACAAATTTGGGTATCTGTTTGGGTTACTCCGGCCATGTTTATATGCTTCCATTAGATATGGACGGTCTTGATGTATTTGCTGGAAACAAAATTTTCTGAATATGCATAGTAATGTTCTTTATGGCTTAAAGATGTTCCAAACTTCTATTGTTTATTTTGAGTGTGATTTGTTAGATTGAGGTTTCAAAATGGAAATACAATCTGATAAAATATACACACTAAATTGCTTCTAGAAGTAGATTTGCTAGCAGATCGCAGTCCCATAAAATTGGGAACACTATTCCTTAGGATTAGTGAAACACATACGCATTTTCCTATGTCTTCCAAGGGAAAAATAGGTTTGACTGCTTAAGTCTATAGATCTAGAAAAAAGATTTCTGTGCTTTCAGAATGGCATTAGTGAAGAGAGTGGTGGGAGTCATTTTTAACAATTTTTGCCGGGGTTGGCTTAGGGATTTTGGACAGGTCATATTTTCGAAGAATATAATGCAAGATAGAATAAAAGCATATCCTCATCTTGTTATGATATGTACACCATATGAGTGAGCATATCCTCATCTTTGTATGATATGTACACCATATGAGTGATAGGGAGCTTTCTTATTTGTAATGAATTGCAAGAGTGAGAAAAAAAGAGTTTTCATTTTTTCTTGTTCTAAATATAATGAAATTTCTAGAGATGATAAATGATTATGCATAATGTTGAGAGAGGGGGCATTATTGATCTTCATATAAAATTTAAAGCCTTTTTTTTTTTTTGAATGTTAAATTAAAGCTTTTTGTTCCTTTGCAAAAATGAAGAAGGGCACCTCATCATCATCATCTGAGCCTTTTCCCAACTATTTGGGGTCAGCTAAATAAAAAAGATAGGAAAATGAAAGAGAAAGGAATGATGAGATTTTGCAATGCAGAAATGGCAACATGGTGTTATGAGGTTAGGTGGGGGTGGGGGTGTGGGTCCATATTTTAATAGCGGAAGAGGAACAACTAATGAGTTCATTTAATAAAATTTGGTTAAATAAAGAAAGCATGTGTTTCGTGCAGGAAATGTTGATCGCATTGTTAGTGAGGCTGGCTATAGATTTTCTTTCTCTTTCTCTATGGATCTCTTTCTTTCTTTATATTTGTGTTCTCTCCATTTCATGATTTGGTTTTTTGTACTTAAAGAGGAAATGGAAGTAATTAGCACTTGCAAAAAGCGCAGGGCACATCTATGATTCGATCTAGATTTGATAGCATTTATTAATTAAATTTACAATATAAAATCCAGTAATGTCTTTGGTATATTTTTGTGCATTATCTATGGCATGTCGCAACAAATTCTAATGTTCGTCTTGAAACTATCTTGAATTATTGTACATTTACTTGTAGTTTATTATATTTGTTATAAATTGGGATTGTCTATGAAGAGACTATTTATCTTTTGTACGTAGGGGTCACAGTCATTCTTGTCTCTTAAATTTCAAAGTGGATGGTTGTAAGAGTGTCATTGAATAGACACAAAGTTCCAAAAAAAAAATTTCTCAGACTTCATGGCTCACCTCAAGCCATCCAATTTGACATCTAATGAGTGGGAATGATTTGTGACCTCCATTTACAAAAAATAAATGGTCTCTTTGTACACAATCCCTATTAAATTTTACACCTTTTTTTATATATATTGTATCGGTGCTCCCAATCAAGGGAGCTTCTAGCAACCGATGATCCTCACTTGCCCCCAAGAACTATGGAATTCTCTTCTTTCCAAGTGGGAGCTTAACATTGTACCAACTCGAAATGTTGTCAGGGCTCTGATTCCTTCTTTCGATGATTATGCCATCTGGGATCAGCAACAGCTTTGTTGGATGCATAATTGGAAGACTAAGAGTTTAATATGAGGTTAAGAGCTGAATAAGGGACAACATGATGAATGGAATATGAGGTTCTTGTGCACTTGTGAAGAGCAAGAAGAAAATCATCATTAGAGAGTTAGAGAGGGAATGATTAACGGCAGATATGATTCCGAGGAATTTCTTGGAGAGGAACAAGGAGATGGATGCTTTGTAGGTGGCTAGTAGTATCTTTTCATGATTAGGTCAGAAGGGGCTGAGCTTCAGGGTGTGATTCAATACTATCAGACAAAGTGATAGACTGAGGATTCTACCATGTGGAGATGTGATCAATCCTTTATAGATTTGACTATTGTGAATATACTTGGGTGTCACAACTTTTACAACTTTTAGGCCCACCACCTCTTTAGTTTTTAAGTCTAGATGTTCACGTCCTGGATATTGATCAGTATGTATGTTTTTACCAGATCTCGCCTCTTTCATTCTTGGGTTTTAAAGAGTAATCTCAACTTTACTTCACACCATTATTCAATTTGGAGCGCAGTCTCTTTCTTGGGCTGCTAAATCTAGATTTGACATCATCATCCAGATTGTTGATGTCATGTGTGTGGACATACCTGAAAAAATTCAGTTTGTTGAGGGCTTTTGTTCTTGCTTACCTGATTTTTGTAGATAACCCAATTGAGGGTGGTATAGAGTCAAATTAACTGCTTTTTTCTTGAACATAGGCTCTTTCTTGGATTGTTTCAAGCTTTCTCAGGTCAAATGTGTAAAGGGCCCACATATGTAACCATTGCTTCAACCATTTCATTTTGTTTCTACCCATATTCTGTCCAAGTTTCAACACCTATATCTCCAGTCTCCACTGTTTGAGAGCTATGAGATCTTGTCCTTCGCAAGGAGCTTTTCAGGTTATCCTAAGACCTTTTTTATCACAAAAAAATGCGTAAAAAAATCCTTCACCCTAAAAACATCTTCTCCATAACTCTCAATATGGGAATCTACAGGATCCTTTTGGTGAGATGAATAAAAACCCCCCTTTGCTTCTAAATATGTTTTTGTCTTTTGGATGCCATGAGCGATGTGTTTGGTTCTGTCAGAGCAAGGTTTGACAGTGTGACACTCCTCGATGAACTCAGCATGCGAATAATCTCTAAATTGAGGAGCCCAGTAATTAGGAGTCTTGTGAACGGAGATGCCAACATGCAGCAGGATCCTAGATGTCTATACCTAGAGATGTGGTCGTAGGTTTGGTTGGTTCTAACTCCGATCTGTAGCTACAGTAGTCGGATTTTTGAGATATTTGCCTGATTTGGATTAAAATGAAATATGGTAGTCAGATCTTGTTTCTGGAGCACCAGTTTATATATGTGATGTACAAACCTGTGAGATGGATGATCATATATTGCTTTTTAGATCTGATAACATGTGGAAAATGATGCATGGTGATTGATGTTAGGGTTGACCGACAGAAATGGGCAAAGCAGAAACATTTGAGGGGAAATGTGTTTCACTTTTCATTCTTTTCTATATTGACATGAGGACTAAGGTGTCCCTGTGCATATTTATCCAAACATATATGTCTAATTTATGGGACAGTTACAAGTAATGAATGATAAATATAAAGATGACTCAAAATGATCAAACTACCCCTCTATTGTCTTGTATTATGGACAAGTTCAAGCTTCTGTATATAGTAGTAGTTTAGGGCCCTTTTGGGTACCTGGAGAAGCATGTCTTGGGAATAGGCTTCTCCTGGAATTGGGCTATCCTAGAATTGGTTTGTCCTTGGGATAGAGGTGTCTACTGTTTGGATTGCCTGGAAGATATGAATCCATGGATATTAAGTTGCAGTTTTTATATCATTACGCTACATTTAATTTTATACTGATTAATTTCTCTCATTGATTCCAATCTTTAATATTATTTCTTAACTAAGATGAAATCCTTATTTTTCTCTTATTCCTTTCCATTTTATCCTTATACATAAGGGAAAAGATGGGATTAGCCCACTAGCTCATATGAACATATGGGCCCAACGTCCCAGATTGATTCTAGGCCGATCTGACGATCACGGATGTTTGGTAGTATTTGAATTTTAGTTTTTTTATACAAATCCAAATCACTTGAAATTTTAAGCGTGTTCATAAAAAATAGGCGAATCTTCGAAAAATATCAAACAAATATTTTACATGAAATAAATTGATCAAAATACCCTTGAAAAGTTTCGAGGGGTAT